TGGTCAGACGGTATGTAGTCAGACAGTCAGACAGCCCAGAAATTGTAAGGGGAACGAGCGTTGCGTGACGACACTATTAGCGGTCGCGCAGGAGACTCATTTCAAGTTTAACTAGRGTTATAAATGGGGTAAAGCGTGTTGATGGCGCTAGCATCTCTTTAGTTCCTATTATCATAATAATTATAGCGTAACCATTGTGAACGGCTTGTTAGATGAACGAGTCATTCAGTTCACCATTAATCATGTAATAGAAATTTGTCTTCAACTAATAAAATACGCCCCAGGGTTCCTTATGACATGTGTCTTGCCAAACGAGTCGAATAATCAAGTTGTTTTTCCTTCTTCAATTAAATGATTTAGCCTCTTTTTCCACAGTTAAATATTTCGTAGATGACATTGACCCAAAAGTACGAAACATTATTTCATGCTACACTCGGAATAAAAGTATTCTAATTTTTCTTTCGGTGTAAGCAGGGTTCCAAATAATCCGTCACTAATCCGTCACTTCCCGCAGATACCACAGACTCGTATCGATTGCGGTGTGGTCGGTGAAATATTCCGCAAGACTTGGAAGTAATATTTCTTGTCTATGGTAGTACAGAACATGACCAAAACGAATTGGCAGTGTGTATATTAAAGCCAAAAAAATCTTAAGTGCTATAGATGTAATCGCGAGTAAGGGCGACAATCAACAAATCAATTTTTAATAGGAATCGCTTAAGCTGCAGAATTGTCATGTTTCGCCGCCAAGTCTATCTATTATAATAGACAAAAATATATACATATATAAAAAAGCTGATGTGTGTTTTCTGTGCATTTGAAAAAGGTTAAGGAAGGTAGATTTTTTTGTTAGTTTTCTTTTCTTTCTCTCCGAATCTAATCTTGTAGTATAATTGAACTCAAATGTGCTAGGAATAAGGAAAAGATAGCGATCTTCGAAAGCAATAATGAAAGTACGGTACAAATAAAATAAAAATACCTGATGTAAAACAAAATTGAAAGCTCACTAACTAAATAAAACTAATACACGATAGATACAAAAATGAACTGTCTATGAATTCAATGACACCGACAAAAGAGTGATATTGAACGGCGAAAAGCGAGATATAGTAAAATGCTCTGATTTCAAGGAGGAATAAACTTTGTACAACCGCGTAGGCTATTTGTATAATGGACGAATTATTTAGACACTGATTATGGGGCCTAAACGTCCGCTTACTATGGATTGATGGACAGTTAAGGTGGTCGGTAAAATATAGTGCCGGTAGCTGATTAATATTAGGCATATCAGCGTTATACACTATTTCTATCACATTTGTCTAACCTTTAGTAAATATTGTAGGGTGCCGACATCTTTATATACCCAAAGCGATCATTATACAACCATATCGTCGACCAGCCCACCAGCCTTGAGAAATATTTCTGACTTGTCTGGAAATTCCTTGAAGTCGTAGGAATCGGGTTTTATCGGTGTTAAATAGATATTCGTAGGATCTGAACACGCTGGGTATTATCTGTCGCTATTTGATAGAATGGAATATAGTCCAAATGTTTTGACAACGTATGTGCATTTAAAATTTATGAGGAATTGCCCGCAAGATAGAAACAACAATACACTTGTCTCTTTTGAAGCTCAGGGAACGTGATTCTGATTCTGGCCCTCGGAATTCGAGGGAATTTGTAAATATCACTAATGTACATTCATTTTTGTAAACGAATTATTTGAGCGTTTTTATTCATGTTCTGTATTCAAGGGAAAAGAGCTGTTATTCCAATTATTTTCTGTCAGCTGTACTTGGGATTAGAATTGGGCTTTCCTTGGGTATTCGTAATTACTCACTTCTTTATTCTTTTAGTCGTACAATTAGCTGAATGCTTGAGAGCGACCCTATTACGGTATTTTAAGAATCTCTTAACTTGACTTTTCTTTAACACAGAACCGATCGAATATCAAAGTTTTTAGTTTTCGCGAAAAAGCGATCGATTGTTGCTGATGTTAAAAGAAAAAATTCTATCAATCCTAATGCTTTTATTATTTTTTCTTTCAACACGTCAACTCAAGCCGTGTTCTTTCTAGTTTGGTATAGAACTAAAATTATGAAATTGCTTTGATGAGCATACCAAATTATCAAATTGTAGTGGTAAAACACCGTGAACGCCTTGGGAATTTAAGCAACACGATTAGAGCTGTTTCAACCACCTGCCCCGTGCGTTACTTTCGGGAAAAAATAATTCAATCTCCTAAAAACCATGGCTTTTTTGTGCTAAAACTCTAGATTAATTCTTATTTCGAAATATTGAAGATTCAAGGTTCTATACGCAAAAATAAGAGATGAAAGTCTGCCAAATACGAAGTATCTTTTACGATTATGACATTCAAACGGAATGTAGGTTTGTTGATAATCATTATTTATTTATAGAAATAGGCATTTTTGATAGGGAATTTACGGACTTTAATAAAAACAGAACTTCGAGACTAGGGGATGTAATCCAATGTAAACAATCGCTATTTTCTCCTAATGTAACGAGTAATTTAAAGGTTAAGAGTCTGTTATATCTTGATGTCGGAGAGGGAATTATCGGGGTTATGTGTTGATTGATTTGAAGCGTTTGTTTCTTTTCTGCTCGATATGATTGAAATAATATTTGGAAATCAAGTTTTTGATGGCTTGAAGACGATTATATCGACTTTTAGACTATTAAAGTGTGAAAAAAAACCTAAGAGGGAATAGAAGCGAGAAAATAACAAACTAGTACCCAGTCCTCTTCAAATACCACTCGTTCACCTGTCAAATGTATTGAGGGACCGTTTATTTCAAACGGGGAATTGGGGGGGGGGGGGGGGGTTTTGAAGGGATTGAGGAAAAACAATGTTAAAATAACAGGTGAAAATAGCACTCATTACACTTCACCACACCATACCACACCACACCACACCACACCACCACACCACACCACACCACACCACATCACATCACACTGCACTGCACTGCATTACACTATACTACACTAGAGCAGTTTGCGTATGTCCGTGAAAAGCTCACGGTACGAACGTGGTAAGGCATACGCCAGACCAATAACATTGCGCGAGAATTTACTCTCCATGCAATCAAATAATCAGAACAAGGCGCAAACACGGTCACACCAATGAGACCAATCACATTGCGGGAGAAAATTCTAAAATCTAGAAATCATTGCATATCGCTGCAAAACACGCACACGGCACCGACCTTTTCACAGTCAACTAGACGCATCAATAGACTTATGCCACAAAATAAATAAATATGCAATATGTTAAGACACATACCTTCGGCTTTTATATGAATAATACGTTTTCCATTTCATTCGTTTTCTGTGTTCCAATTCACGTGAAAGGTTCCTTTAGACCTATGTAACATTTAGAGCATCAAGAGTCAAAAAAAGGATTTTAAAGTCAAAACAACTTAAGCCCTCCCCCCCCCC